AGATCCATGTTTCCAAATGTTAGCCCAAATATTTGTTCCTAAGAAAATCTGATGACTCGATCATCATACAGGGAAAAACGAAAGTTACTTTTTCACCCTCAACTTCTTAACGCCCTGTGGGAAAAGTGAGTGGTTTTAACTTAGCTTCATTATGTTTTAGATTGAAGAGTGATCTCTTCTCTACATTATGGTTTTTTATTCACGTCGATAACCATTTTTTAAAGGAAGATACAAGTGTTTCAAGAGAGTATGGATTCTTAAAATTTGTATTTACAATAATTCAGAACCATTCTCCAACCTTCTGCTTCAATGCTTCATCATGTTTTAAATTGAAGTGTGATCCTCTTTTGTTCCTTCTTGATAGAACGGTTCTTGAATAACGCCAATATCTCCTTTTTGAGAGAAAGTATAGATTTTTTTAATTTTCAATAACAATAATTCAGATCCTATCTACCTATCTTAGGGGTGACCTCTAGAGGCTCATTCGCCTTCGCCCAGCCTTGTCAGATACTCTTCAAGAGCTACGATTCGCCCTTCAAGGAGGATATTAGGCAATTCTTCAAGGCAACTTGAGTAATTTGATCAATTCGATGCCACTTCGGTTGAATGCTGTAATTCAATATCGAGGAGAGCATACTGACTACAGGTCTGCTTCTTGTTTGTTTTTTGTAATTGATTTTCCCGTAAGTGCTAAGAAAGTAAGGTAGAAATAAGTGATAGTAATCCTTGAAGTTGTTAATCAATAATTTCATGTGAATTCTGATTATTGGTAAAAAAGGTTGAAAAACGCCATACTTCCTTAAAACACTCGTATCTTCTTTTGAAAATAAGATATTGACGTGAATCAAAAACTTTTGTGTTTAGAAGGAATGACACTTCAATCCGAAGCATAATGAAGCCATGTTCAATCACGCCCACAGGCCGTTGAGAAGTTTAGGGTGAAAGAGTAACTTTGGTTTTTCCCTGTATAATGATCAAGTCATCATCTTTTCAGGAAAACTGATATCTAGGCTAACATTCCGGAACATGAATCTACAATTTGATCGAAATTTCATAAAAATCGGATAAGGATTAAAAAAGTTACAGGCTGAAGAATTTGTGAAGATTTTTTGGTGGCCGGTTTATTTTGCCGGTGAGTGTATATAAAATAACAAAATTCACTACAGGAAACAAATACTGAATCAACAAACAGATATCAAGTGCATGGTCATATCACGAGAGAAAAAACAAGTACATAGACCTTATGTAGAACTAATGTAGAACTAGTGGTTATATCTGTTCAAGCGGAATTTTTCATCGTCCCGCAAAATTCCATCGTTACACAAAATGACGCGTTTCCTAACTGGTTACGTAAACATATATCTATTTCGTGAAACAAACATTGCTGAAATACGTGATATGTGCGATGCCGAGTTTATTCCCAAGTAAATTCCCAACATCAGGGGTAAGTTAGCAATTAGGATGGATAATGTAGGGTCGGCTGTCGGATATAATGAGGTAACTCGTAACGGCACAGTGGAAATTTGTTGGACCAAGAAATAGCATTGCATCGCTGTATGATGTCGGCACCAAAAGCTCTAAAACGTTTAGCGCTGATGGGGTTCTTTTACAAGCAATCAGAATTTTATATCTTCAATAACATTACATGTATGTAGCCGGGTGTACCACTAAGAAAGGACGCCGGCTGTATCTCGGAAACTATTTGCCGGTTTCGGAAAAAAATATTTATGATAAAAATGGCCAAGAAAAATCTCTGGAAATCATTTTTAAGTTTCCAAGACAGCCGCTAGAGAGCATAATTGCATTGGCCAACTTAAAAAACGGGTTTTTATAAAAATTCACTATATCAAGACATATCAGAAACACTTTTTCCATGTTCTCGAGTTGATTTCCAATCATTTCGATCAAAAAAAATTGCGCTAGCTCTTTAAATAAAAGAGGGAGGGAAGGATGAATAGTACTCTAGAAAAACTCTTATTACTACAGTTTGGTGTAGCGGAATTAAGCGATCTTGGTCTCATTATCAAGGGTTTTTTCAGATCTTCCCGATAAATCACGAATCAAGTCGATTTAAATCCCGTGGTGGCCGCTAGATGGCATCGTTTAAAAAATCAGCCGATTAGCCATTTTTTTTTTCGAGAATTTCAGATGAAACCATATATTTTTCCTGCTATGATATGAAAGTTGAGTAGACGAGAAGAAAAATGGTGTAAACCGCGAGTTGATACCTCTTGAAGAGTCGGAGAAATGCTCGGAATAATATTAACAAGCGATAAAAAAAGCAATCCACAATGAACAGTGAAAACTTCCAATAAAACTTCAATTATATTTTGACGTTTCTTTCATTCAAAGCCAACTGGCCTTTTCTCATTCATGAGCCTATACTCATCACTACTTACATTTCAATTAGCTATGTCATTACTAAGAGTCTCCCTCACTATTGTGAGATATAACAGCAGTTCGTGAAACCAAAATAAATGAATTATTGGACTCATGATTTCATAGATACAGGATATTTCTGATTACGATTATTGAAGTTAGATTCCTGTGGTGAATATTTTCATAATATTGTTTCGAGTATTTCACCGGTTCCTCAAGAGGTATCAATTCGCGGTTTTCACCATTTTCCATCTCGTTTGCCCTACTTTCATATTAGAGTGGAATGAATATATGGTTCCATTCGAAATTTTCGAAAAAAATGGAAAATTGACTGATTTTTTAAACGATGCCATCTAGCGGCCACCACAGGATTTAAATCGACTTGATTCGAGATTCACCTGGAAGAACCATAAAAACCCTTCATAATGAGACCAAGATCGTTGAATTCCGTTACACCAAACTGTAGTAATGAGAGTTTTTTCAAAGTACTATTCATCCTTCCCTCCCTCTATTGTTTAAAGAGCTAGCACAATTTTTTTTATCGAAATGATTAGAAATCAACTCGAGAACATGGAAAAAATGTTTTTGATATGTTTTGATATATCAAATTTACATAAAAACCCGTTTATTAAACTGGTCATTGCAATTACGCCCTCTAGGGGCTGTCATAGATACTTGAAAATAATTTCCAGAGATTTCTCTTGGCCATTTTCATCATTCATATTTTTTTTCAAAACCTGTGCGGCAAATAGTTTCCGAGATACAGCCAGCGTCCTTTCTTAGTGGTACACCCGGTACATACTTATACAGGGTTGACATGAGTACGTTAAAAGAATTTGAATGACGTATTCCTGCGAGACAATTTCAAGATAGAAGTCAGTATAAATTTGTACCCAGAAATGCTTCGTTTTGGAGATACAGGGTGGTAGAATTGTTTTGTTTTTTTCGTTTTTTTTTGCGAAAATATAGTTTTTTGAACGAAATTTGGTATCCAAGGTTTTAATGATGGAAAATCATAATTTCGTTTTAATTTTTAGGAACCGCCTTGTGGCCGTTGCGAACGCTACCTACTCGGTACGGTGTCATTTTTTTTTTTTTTTTCATTAATTACACTAACGATTCGAGATTCGAGATACAATTTTCTATATCGATGCAGGTTACTTAGGTCCTAGGGTGATTAGTGAAGCTTGCTGAGAACATACCAAAAACTTAAAATATGGTAGATATCGTCGAAATGAACAATACTACTAGTACTAGCAAGGTGCATCGATATAGAAAATTGTAAATATCTCGAAAACGATAACCTTCAGCGTTATCGAGGAAGTGTACCTTTTTTAATAATTCAAAAATGTGTGGTAATGAGGTTTTTCAAGAAATGTGCTAAAAGTTCACTGTGAAAAAGTTAATGTAATTTTAATTGAATAATGACTGCGTAAGCAACGCCGTTCAGGCCCTTCATGGAAATTAGTACGAAATTATGATTTTCCACTTCACAAGAAACCTGGGTGTCGAATTTAGCGTGAAAAACTTATTTTTTGCAAAAGTAATTTGATACAAACGAACAAAATTTCAATTTCACACTCTGTATCTCCGAAACTAAGTATTCACGGACACAATTTTATATTTACTTTTTTCTCAAAATTCGTTAAAATTGTCTCTGGAATATGTCATTCAAATCTTGCAACGTACACTCTGTATAATTATTAATAGTAATACGTTAATAGCAACTATGTTAATCTTTCACTTCAGTTAATTCAACACCAGATGTCAACCAGTTGATGATATCGATTGTTCCACTCATTTCGAAATACACGTTTATGATGGTTGATAATCGAAAACATTGTTTTCGATTTTGTATTTTGGCAGTTGATTGGATAATTATATGATTCGTTTCCGATTTTGCGTTTCGCTTCCTCATTGGTAGTTTGATCAAATAAAAAACAAAATAACTCACTTAACAATACTGACAATCCTTGGACGATTTGACCGTTATAATAGTGAAGTGAGCGACTGTCAGTGGTGACAGCGGTTCTTTGATTTTTTTTTTGTTATGTTCTGGTTCCCACGAAAAAGGATATGCTGTAATGTTCAGAGAACATCGTATGTATGCATAACGCAACAACTAGATAAAATTATTGTTTCATTCATGAAATAATGCGTTGAATACTCTTTACAAATACAACTCGTTTTATTGATGATTATCGAAAATTCCTTCTCTTTTTCGAAGCAAATTATGTAGCTTAACATTATTTGTTTCTCAAAATCGAAAGTATTAGTATTTCGACAATCATCAAGAGACTTGTCGTAATTTCATACGCCATGTCAACAAACAATCATGGTTAATTGACGACATGTTTAATCAATTCGTTAGTTTCTTACAAGATGAGAACAATTCTATGATACCGTCACCGTCTGATGTCTAACTAATATCTTTTGAAACGAACTAGTCAGATTAATAGAAATAATGGTATAATAAGTATTCTATATCGAGACAAGATGTACTAACGGCTGTGTAACTTATGAAGATTCAGAGTCAAATTTCAAATTATCATATCATCTGATGTGAATACTCATCAACATCAGGTTTTTAAATGGAAAACCTGAACCAAACTGGTACTCACTCTTGTGTTATTTCTTTCAGCTTTCAGTTCCGATATTTCTTCTTCTCGTTCTAATAGGTGCTCCCGGGCAGCATTCAATTCTTTGGTGAGCGTTGCAAATTCCTGAAACAATGAACAATCGTTGAAACTTCTGAATTTTTATTCATTATTCACCTACACCATAAGATTCACAATCCATAGATGAGGAATTCAATGATTCTTCATAAATTGAGTAAAAATTACACTATTTGCGGATACTCCATCGATACACTGCTCTTTTGAAATCATTTCAGGTAATTTCATCAAATTTCCTGTTATCTATAACTTGTTCTATTTTTATTACCCTATAGTTGGTTGGGACCTTTTGATTGTGTTAGAGATCACAATTTAATTCTTCGCGTTGGAGCTTCGTTCTCTAGTTCAATCGAGAATTCAATTTGCTTTGTGATGTAATGTTATAGATACAAAAAATATTGATGGAACTGCAAACTGCACAGCTGCGAGGCAAACCATCTGAAACTCTAAACTGCAAAGCTAATATTATCATGGCATCGATCTCGAAGCATGTACGACTATATTGTCTATCCATCGACGACTTGCTTTGATGGGACCATATAATTTCATTTGTTCCAATGGTTCTCGGCGGAAAAGATATACTGGATTCAAGGACTGACAAAAGACCCGATCAAAATGTCAATTTGAGATCACGCTATTCACATAGATAACATAATAAATGCCTGATGCCGAATGGCGCAAAGTAATGAATACATTTATTTGCAGCCAATCTATTCAGTTCTGAGAAATCTCCCAAAATTGGCTGAAACAGGTCGATTGTTAATTTCAATTTGCCACATTCTACATTTGCTAGTTTATGTCAATGAAGAACAAAATATACAGGGTGACCCACGTTTGAGCAGTGACGTCCACAACAGATTTTCCAAACTGAAAACCCTATACCGGGTGACACAGGGTATCGGGCCACCCCTGTAACTTCTGCATTCGTCAACGGATTTTTCTGAAATTCGGTACAGTTATATAAGCAATCATTTCGGATTTGATCACATTACAATCCAATATGGCGGACTTCCGGTATTTCTGGAAATGCCAGCAACTTTGTTTTTTCAAATGAAACACCCTGTATATTTTTACATATTCTAGTTCAACAGGTCGAAACAAGTGCAATCCTTATTTCAAATGTCATTTTCTCGAAAAAATTTAAATTAAAATTGTTTTTTCATTTTACCTCGTGGATAAATGAGATGTGGTCAAGACTATTCACAATGACTCACACATAACAGAAGAACATAATTTTTTCTGAAAAATTATTTTTTGTGTCACTTATCCAGGAATCAGTTCAGCCACATCACTTTTTGATCAAAAATTATTTTTTTTCAAATGAAACCCCTATGGGCCACCTACCCGTCTCTCTAGAACATACATTAAGGAACAAAATGACATATCATTTTTGTTTTTCGGTGCAGTAACAGATTGTATACATTCAAAAATCAACAACTAGTTTATGAATTTCCTTGCAGTTAGAATAATTTTTCAACTAGGTAGGTTGTGGAATAAATGACATTTGACAGCAAGATTGCACTTGTTTTGGCCTGTTGAACTTGAATATGTAAAAATATACAGGGTGTTCCATTTGAAAAAACAAAATTGCTGGCATTTCCAGAAAAACCGGAAGTCCGGCATATTGGATTGTAATGTGATCAAATCCGAAATAGTTGCTTATATAACTGTACCGAATATCAGAAAAATCCGTTGACGAATGCAGAAGTTACAGGGGTGGCCCGATAACCTGTGTCACCCGGTATACTGATAAATTTAGGGAATCTCCATGTATTGATCGGACCAGAGCCATTCTGTGGCCTTAGAAATCCATATTTCTAAGAAGAACTTGATAAAGCTGAAGAAGCAATGACAGCAACACACCGGCGAATACTTCAAGGACTGCGTCAGGCCAATGATCTCCTCGACAATTTCAACCGAGCAAGATCGAAGACACTGATGAACCTCAGCAAAATTAGTCTCAAGTCAATAAAATGATTTCTGGCAGGCTTACCAATAGGGCAGTACCTGCAGATTCTGCATGGATCATCCATAAACACCACACCACATCTTGCGGAGGAAGCAGGAATGTTACGATATACCGGGTGACACAGGAGATCTTACAGCATGTAGTTTTTATATTTGAAGAGATAAAAATTTGAAATTCACAAGGGTTACATAATCGATGATGGCGATTTCCCTGAACCTAATGACAAGTTTTTTCAACACCTGTTTGATTGAAAGTAGACTCAACTTTTTTTTTTCAAATGGCATCCTGTATATTTCTGTAGTCTATCTTATTCGCCTTACAATTCTCTATTCAACTATTTCATATTCGTTCATCAATTGGCTGTTAAATTGCATTTTATTGAAATACATAAAGTTGGCTGTGGCCCGAGTACAATGAAATTGCGATGCTTGATAGACTTAGAAATCCAAAGATCATTACTTAGACGATATTATCAGAACATTTTCCATACTCTAATCGGTCCCAGAAGATTGCCAATAATGTCATTGAGTTAAAAAAAAACATCCGAAAATAAGTCACGATATTAGGACGATATACATCAATTATTACAACAATTTCAGTTTCATGTATCCAAATGGATGAACATATCATGGCTACATGGCAAAAATGAAAAACAAATAGTTTCTATCTTAGTTTTCTCAAAATCGTGAGTTATTTTCGGATGATTTTTTCATACTCGATGAAATTATTGACAATCGCCTGGGACCGATTAGGGTATGGAAAATATTCTGATAATATCGTCCAAGTAATGATATTTGGATGTTTATTCCTATAACGCATCGAAATGTCATAAACCTCATTTTACCCCAACACCTCTGGTGGACTGATAATTGTCGAAAAAGGCGAACTGCATATTTCACTTCATCAAATTGCGATAACGACGTTGATTACGGTCGATGCTGAAGGTGAATATGCACTTCCTCAAACAATTTATGAATTTGATAGAATCCCGACGTTCCGAAGGGTCTATATCAGTAGGAAATGATAATTCGCCAAATACCAATAATACCAATATAACTGAGAATAACGAATTCCATAGAAGAGAAGATGGAGAAGATGGAACAGTATGTGCTGATGATATCGACGGTGTATTAGTCAGAAAATCAAAAATGAATGTAACCAGTGATGTCCTAGTATTGTCCAATAATAACTTAAAAAATCAAACAAGAGAGCCCAGAATTGAAATGTTAGCTGTATCAACATCTTATCAATAGATAGCCATTGCTGAAAGAAGAAAAGAAAAAGGCTGATTTATTGAAAAACAAGGAGTAAATAAAACAAGAAGAGGAGAAACTGAAAGAAAAAAGGGACAAGTTGGGAAAGCAGAAACTTAATCACAGAGAACCTAAAGAAAAACGAATGGACAAGAAAATTTTCAGAGCCAATGACAGTGAGAAGGAGAATGCAGAAGATAAGCATCAATCTGCCAATTTCTGAGAGAGAAAAAACAATAAATAATGTACAGGTGAATACGTACGTTATTATGTGATATGAAAATATATATTTCCCTGAAAAAATTACTGAAATTCCTGAATGTGGCAATTGAATTTCAAAAATGGCGAAGTGTTTACAATATTGGCAATGGCCTGAGAAAAAGTATGAACTCATTTATGAGTTCGATATTATAATCGACATAATCAACACACTCATTGAGGAAACTGCTAGAGGGGCATACTCAGTTCCTGAGATGGACAAGTCACAGATTATTGCGAATGATATTGTTCTGAAATTGTTCTTATGCATTATTTGGTTACCCCCTTACGAGCAACACTCAGAAGTCTTCAAGAGACTTGTGCAAGGAATGCCGGGAGTCTTATCTTCTAACGTGTAATCCAAAAACACTTTCTTAGGCCATCAGAAATATTTCTGCGGTTTTGGTGGGAATCGAACCCACCTATCAGCAATCCAACGTGGATAGAACATTGATTCTTTAACACTTTAACCACGAGGCTACGCTGGCCACGAATATAAATATATATGTATAGTATTGTTCTTTTGAATGAATAATTATATTCATCATTGGGATCGTGCAGTGTAGAATTTTGATAATGTTCGAGAAATAATGGGATGAAGTTCATCATCATGAAAAAATTGACTAGTTCACTGTATATCTCATATTTTTTTCATCCTGGTGATATCAACTTCCCTTAAACTGGCCACAACCGGAGCTATCACCCTAAGGAAAAGTAAGATATCGGCGATTTCTATTGGTTATCTTTTGTATACAATTATTCAACTGAACGGTCAATAAAACTTCACTTTATAGCATTTTATCATCACATCCAAACAATTAGAGCGAAGATCTCATAATCTTCTGAACCACCAGACACCTGGCAACATGTTTTTCAGGACCCAATACCCAATGAAGATTATGAGCGAAAACTGTAAATGGAAGTACGAAGCACCGGTTACCCAGCCAATTCCCTATCCCGAACTCCATAATGTATATTACCAACATACGGTTTATTCAACTAACTCCGGATTAGGGGAATTAACTTCGAATTTGCTCCGATAAAATATTTGCATTTGTTTATAGAGGCAACAGAGCCCTACCAATGCAAACACAAATATGCGTATTACGTCGATGTAAATGTGAAATTATTTTGATAAAGGGAAATTCTAGCAGTTGACGTAATATGAAGGGTTATCCCTTCGATTTCAGCTGTTTGTTCTCGAATAATTGTGATAGAATTTCGGAATAATGTTTCGGCAAACAAGTGAATATAGAACCTATCCTATAGCTCATAGGTTTATTTGATATCTATTATAGTAGGAGAGCTGGTTGCAGATTTCTATCGTCATCTGATAACGAAATGATACATGTCCCGAAGGAATGTACAGACTTTGTAGTCCATCGAATAACACCTTTACAAATCACTATCCTGAGCAAAATAATTGAAAATAGCACTTTCCTGTGCGGGAATTTGCACTCGATTTGGCGATTTGATAACGAGATAAGAATTATGCCCTTTTTGTGAATATCCAAACGTGCCGCGATTCAAACTGATCTACGTTAGTGCAGAGCGTTTCTGTATGTTTT